ATGTCAGGGAGCAATTTTATCCTAATGTTACAGTCCAGCTGGCTTAAGTGCCAGGCCAAAAAAAAAAAAAAAAAAAAAAAAAAAAAAGGCAGATGACAGCTGATCAGAGCAAATCCAAGGAGTACAAAATGCATGAGGACACCGCCAAACATACAACAGCACCCCCAAACTATCCTCAAGCTCTGACCTTCCTTCACCCCCTGCTTATTGCCATATTATAGATTTGCTACCCACACCAGGTCAGCCTGCACAGATCTGTGATTCTGAGGAAATGTGTCTTACATGACAGAATATGTAAAGTTCCCACTGCATACCTGACAGGACAAGAACTGATCAATTTCAATTTGTACAGTTTGAAAATAAAATGAAGCCGGGTGGTGGTGGTTCATGCCTTAAATCCCAGCACTTGGGAGGAAGAAACAGGCAGATCTCTGTGAGTTCAAGGCCAGCCTGGCCTACAGAGTAAGTTCCAGGACAGCCAAGGCTATCCAAGAAACCCTGTCTCAATATAAATAAAAACAAACAAATAAATGAATGAAATGTGAAAAGACGGTCAGGCACAATGGCCCATGCCAGTACTCCCAGCCACATAAGGGACTGAGGAAGGAAGACTGCTTGAAACCATAAAGGAGTCTCAGGCCCGCCTGGGAAGCACGAAACAGACACTAAAGTCTAGTCTCAGATACAGATGAGTGGATGTTTGCCCAACGTGCACAAGACCCTGGTTCCAGCACCGAAGAATATAAACACAGTAATCTATGAGACTTAGGGTGACTTTGTTTTTCTTTTCAGTTCTTTTACTCCCCCTCCCACCATCTTGATTTTACAAGTTAACCCTTTTCCAGACAGGGTTTCTCTGTGTATCCCTGGCTATCCTGGAACTCTCTGTGTAGACTAGGCTGATCAGAAATCAGAGATCTGCCTGCCTCTGCCTCCCAAGTATTGGGATTAAAGTCATGGGCAGTAATGCCCAGCTACAAATTAGTCTTTTAGAAGCTTAAAGACAAACACTCGAAGCCAAGCAATCTCCAGAAAGCAAAGAAGTTACCTCAACCACTAGCCTGGCCCTTTCAGGCCTATACTCTGTGGCCCCTCAAAGCATGGGGCACAGGATTAGCCAGCGCTTGCTCACTTGCTCCTCATCAGACTCTGCTGAGAGCAGCACTTTCCACTTCAGAGACTAAACACTTCCTCTCCTCCCTACCCCACCTTAGAGAAGATAAGAACTCAAAACATGTCACCAGCAGCCTTATTTTGAATTCGAGTAATGAACTAGAAACTATTTTCTTTCAGATCCAACTTTCTATCACACAGGAACATGGTGAGAATGACCTTGATGTTGGACTCAATCAATCCTCTCCCTGTCTCCTGAGGCTGATCAGAAAGCTGAGGGGAAAGGGACTCCCAGTCTTGGAGACTGCGAATGCTCCCACTCCCATGGGTCCATGGGAATCCTCTCCTCACCATGCTGAAGAAAAGAGCCTCCCAAGACTTCACAGGATAGGGAAGCCCCAAGAAGGCCCCTACCATGGAGGCTGTGGGGAGAAGCTCAGCTCTTTAGAGGATGGGGGTGGGAATAGATATCTCTCCCCACCCATGGCCAAGTACTTTTCTGGTGCCATGCCAACTGGCAATAGCTGGTCCCAGCCATTTAACCAAGATGGAATTTCTGTCTCATATTGCCTAAGTGACTGGACCAAAGAACCAGGAAGTAGATAGAGGTCATGGTCCTTGATTAGATGGTCTTAGTTAAAAAAAAAAAAAAAAAAAAAAAAGACCTATGTAAGTGTTGTGGGCGGGGCCAAGGAAGCAGCAGCTCTGCAGGACAGGCAGGCTGGTGACAGGGCACTCTGAACAGGGAATAGCTTCCTGAGTTGGACACTAAGGAAAAAGTATTCAAGTAAAGCCTAGCTTTGTGTGCTCTAGTCCCTTCCACCCTCTGGAATCTAGTAATCACACATACACAAACTTTAGTTAGAATGGCATGTCATACACTAAGGTCATGGAGGCAACACAGACATGTGTCACTCAGTAATGGGGACACGTTCTGACAAATGCCTCATCAGGAGATTTCATCTTTGCAGGAGGTACAGCATGCACCTACACAATCCTCGCACACATACACAGTGGCATGGCTTCCTTCCCCTGGGCTCCACAGTGCATCTCTGTCTATATCACACACACATGGCGCTAGGATAGCCTATTGTATCCAGGGCCATGTTGAACAAAACAGCATGAAATTAAGGACTCCATCAATAAGGACTTGCTGCACAAGAAAGAGCGTTGAGTTCATATCCCAACACCCACATGAAAAAGTCAGGTGTAGGAGGTCAAAGCCTGTAGTCCCAAAGCTGGGGAGGCATGAAGATCCCTGGGGCTTGCTGGCCTATCTCGATAACAGGGAGCTCCAGGTCCAGTAAAGACCCTGTCTAAAAAAAGACCCGGTGGAGGGTGATTCAGGAAGAAACCCAGTGTCGATCTTTAACCTCCACACACATGCAGACATGTGTGTGGGCACCTGCACATATGTGAGCGCGCGTGCACACACACACACACACACACACACACACCTTTAAACACAACATGAAATAATACTTAGTGAAGAGACAGGGCAAACTAGAGACAGATGAGGTGATGCCAGCCTAGCAGGACACTTTAGAGGAAACTTTTAAAAGTCTGAGTGTGCTCTGAAGTAACAGAGTTCATCGCATAGCAGGCACACCACAGTGACAGTCACTTGTTATCCTCATCAAGTATCTGTGCTGTAAGCCACCCTACATGCCACATCTCTATATGCATGAGGCACAGGTTTGCTTATGTCAGCATCACCACAAGTTCGTAAGGAATGTGTCGCATGCAAGGTATGGCCCTGGGCTTCAGTTCCTTCAGTCTCAGGGGACCATCTTTGTCTATGCAACCCATCACTGACCCTGACAAACCATCCAGATATACTAGCTCTTGGTCTCCCTTTCCCTTATCTTGCCATGGAGCCATCTCCCAGCCTTGGGATCTAGGGGAACTCTTCAAATGGGTTTACATGCCTTGCAGAACAAACAGCCAACAAAAACCGAGTGCCCAGAGAGCTCCCTTAGTTGGAACTGCCTGAGAACAGTGGAGTTTTTCACCCAGCAAGCAGAAATGACAAGGGAGACTCTTAGTCTCTGGAAAGCAAAGTTCTGCATTTGAGTTTAAATAAAAATGAACCATATAAAGCCATAACAGGACACTTGGGGGCAAAAGGCCAACTAGAGACAGATGAAATACCGCCAGCCTAGCAGGATGCTTTATAGGAAACTTAAAAAAGTTCAAGTATGCTTTAAAGTAACGATAGAGACAATCACAAGGTGACTGAAAGTCTTTAACAGAGAAAAAAAATACTGAGAACCCAGGGCATGCACTGGAAACCAGCTGGACATTAGAGACAGTAAGTCAGGTGGGGGGCTGACCTAAGCCAGCAGCCTGACAACGCTCAGGACACCTCTGCAGGAGCAGACAGCAGAGAGACCAGAGAAGCTGGGGACCACTTCCTAATGTCACTAGGAGCATGCAGCAGAAGAGAGGACATGAGGACAGAGAAAAGGATGGGCTACCCTATAGCCCTCAAACACAAGCAAATTTGCTGCCAAGGGGCAGCAAATCCACTCAGCTGGAATGTCAGATGACCTCTGCCTGACTCTCCCACCAGGGAACTTTGCTTTAGTGGGGGTTCATCAGCTCTGACAGGAAGTGCAGCTCAGCAAGATCTCCATGGGTCTGACTGGCCTCCAAACTGCCACAGCTCCAAGACTCTGGGGCACTCTGAAGTGCTGAGTGGGGCCTGAGAGTCTTAAGTGTCTTTCTTTTTCTTTTCTCAAGACAGGATTTCCATGTAGCCCTGGCTGTCCTGGAACTCACTCTGTAGACTAGGCTGGCCTCAAACTCAGTCAGGGATCTGCCTGTCTCTGCTGGGATCAAAGGTATGCGCCACCACACCCAGCTGAGAGTCTTAGTTTCTGACAAGCTTCCCAACAATGCTAATGCACACACACTTCTGCACACACACTTCTAGCAGACCAATTTCCAGTCAAAGTGAGCAAGCCCCGACTTGGGAGCTGGTAAAACCCTTTCTGGGGTCCAGCATCCTGACACGGCCATCCTAGGTTGAGTGAGCCCTTTATCTACAGAAGCCTCAAAGACAGTGAGTTATGGCTTAGGTGGGAGCTAACAGCAGTTGAACTATGGGAATCTCCCAATAAAAGTAGGGGATACCAGATGGCAGTTGCCAAGCCTACAGTCCAAGCTACTCCGGAGATTGAGGTAAGGTGATCTCAAGTTGGAAGACCAGCCTGAACAACATAACAAGACTCCATCATGGGGGGTTGGGGGAGGCACTTTTTCCTGGAGGAAATGAGAAAGGGTGGAGTCGAGATGTACTGTACGAGTTAGGTGCTTAAACAACAACCCAGGCACTCAGAACTTGCTCAGAGAACCAAACCCCAAGAGCTGTCCCTCTGCACACGTGTCTAAATGGAATCATGTCTGCCCCACCCACTCCTCCGCACAGCCTCTGCCCTGTCTTCCTCCAGGGGAGAGGTAACTCCAGACCGGGAGCCTCTGGTGACTCAGGAGTCCAGAAGCTAAATCTGTGCCCTGCAGCTACAGTCACAAGACCCTGTCCTCGCCTTCCGTTGAGCCCTCCAGCCCCAGCCTGTCCTCCCTCCAGGGTCCCTCTGCCCTCCCTGAGTCCCTCCCTGTCTTAGACTCCTCTTCAGGAGTGTCCCAACCTTCCCAGGTACAGCCCTGAGCCTTGACATTCCCGAAACATCGGTGTAGCCCCTCTTTAAAAGATGTGCCACTATCACCGTGTTCCCGAGGGTGCCTCGGGTAGCCCCCCTGGGATGTTGAGGTTCTACAAACATCCCTTTGTGTCCAGTGCGGGCACACAGGAAGTGCTCAGAAGCAGCTGCGCCGGTGTCAGGGGGCTCGGAGGGTCAGGCGCGCGCAACCATCGGGACGCTCACCTTGTAGACTTTGCCGAAGGCGCCATCGCCCAGCTCGCCCACAATCTCCCACACCTCGTTGGGGTCCAGGTCCCGGCGGACGTGCTCATATTCACGGGACTTTCTCTTCTCGAAGTTGGATAAGCGCAAGATGCGGCGGAAATTGGCGAAAGCCATGCTGGGTCCGGAGCGCGGCG